CTATTCTCTATTCCCTAAGCTGCTTGTTCAATTAGAGAGTGTTCCTGCTGGCCAGAGAAGGAAAACACTTGGGCTATGTACACATATTGATGGTTTTTAATGGACAGATGCAGCACCTCTTTGACTTGGGGAAAAGAAATAAAATCAGTTACAAGCAGCAGTAAAATTATGTCAAATATTTTCAATGATGTCGTCACTATTTAATCCACTGTTACACGGGTGAAGGATAAAAATGGAGTGTCAATTTTTTGTATAACCGTCAAGTTTTTACCATACCATCAGTTAATAGGTGATAATGTTTTTAGTTACTTTTAACTGAAGGACAACACATAAAGGCGACAATGATGTACCATCATGTGCACGTGCTCCTTGCTGACAGTCTCTGCTGGTTTAGACACTGTACATGTTACGAAATGACTAACACTGTGGTTTCTCTGTAATCAAGACAGAAGCTAGTAGCGGCGTATAATGTTATGTGCAAATGCATTCTCAACATGTGCACAAGAAAGTGTACTTCACCACCTCTTATCTGGTGATACCACTGCACATTAGTGGCTGTTGGAGGAGTCTGTCCAATCTGTACACACATATGCAGTCAGTCTGTCTTCGTCCCTGACAAACCCACATACCACAGTGACTAAGATTTGACAGCAGGCTTCCAGAAATAGACCCAAACAGCCCATAACAGCTGCAATATCCAGACAGATACAGTCTACTGTAGATGCTTGACAGAGACAGTAGTTTATTGTTGAAGGTGCCTGCCAGCGCTTTTTTCACCAGGGACAAAGGTTGGCAAAGGGAAGAATATGGGACAGATAAGGGCACTCCGGTCTATTATTACAGCCAGTCTGGATGTATCAAACTTTTGGATGCATCATGGCAAGGGTGTACATTTTCATATAGATGACGAGGACGTGTTCCTACCAATATTTTAGGAGGGCAGAAATGTCCCTACCAATATTTGAGCAAACCCATGCACATTATCTTTGGAGTAGTCCTGTTATATCATTCCTACGTGCACTCCATGAGGCTTCATCTACAAGATGACATGCTGGCATTGGAAAGACTGAAAGAGAGGAGGCGATCTGAAGCTCATGTTATGTACAAATGTCATATTTGCTCCCACATACAGAGGCAATAGCTGTCAGTCAGCATGCTGACAATGGTAGGCTATGTTACCAGGACTGTGGGCTCTGGGCCGGTCCATACCTCAAGCATGAGCGAAAATACTCTTTCAGAGGACTTATTTCACACAGCACACATAACATAACTTTGCCCATGCTACATCTTGTCTTTTGTAGACAGCAAGAAAAAGAGAGCGCTTGGCTTGATGCAAGGCATCTCCGTGCTAATGTAAACATGGCAGAATCATTGTCACGCGAGACTGAGATTGTACAGGGATCTAAATCACGCTCACAAATCGATTTATCGTGCAGCCCTAGTATAAATTCTTATACAGTGTGAATAGGGGTAGCACTAGAAAAGTCAGTCTTGTGCTATATTTCTACCATAAACTAACCTCTTATTAAATCCATAAAAGTGAACAAAGGTTATACTGTATGCTTGTAATCTTACACACCTCTATCTTTACAGATCAAGTTCAAGGAAACACTGCATCCACACCCTCTCTATTTATAACAGGATAGCCTGTGATATGGATGCAGATATTGCCAGAAACATTCTGTATTGTATCTCCACCAAAACACACATAGCTGCAAATATTCTTCTCTCTTGCCTAAGTAGTCCAGATGTGACCACATGCACTAAAACATTTTCCTCTTTGCTGAAAATACATTCAGTATAGGCTTCTAGTATACGAGAAAAAGACGGAACTCCCTTAGTCAGCAGTGCTGAACTAGTGGTTGACCACATGAGCCTAAAACTTTAAAATAGAGACAAAGGGCGTGACGCTTGGTTATAACTAAAACACACACACACACGACAAATACTATATAAAGGATGAGAAAGACATTTTAGTCCAGGAGGTACAGTTTCAGATTAATGAGCATTTACATTGCAGCTAGCAAATGTTTTTCATCTTGCACCATATACAGTGCTCACGAGTGCATGGACACACAAATGACAGCTGGTAGCCAATAATTACCACTGGGTGTGTACTGAGGATAGACAGCTATTTGCAATCCCACACTTTTTTAACTGTAAAACCTCTCAACCCTTCTTCCTGTGGGTGTGTTTTTTTTTTTTTGGAAACTGAATTAACACTGAAATAAGGCTACCACAAATAACAGTGGCATTTAAAATGAAATTTGATGGTGCGACTGGTAAGGCTTGATTATTTCTCTATTCTTTCCATGTCATAAGGCGCTTTGAAGCAAAATCGTGAAATGCACTGAGCCTGTGTGACAATAAGCGGAACAAATATACGTTTGTCATCGTCATTGCTGGGGACTGAATCATGTCATTAAAGGTTCTGATGTCACATATGATGGTGTCTCCAGAAAAACACACAGAACAACAGAAAAGATCTTACTTATAACAGCTCTGTAAAACATTTAGTTAAGACTGTTCTTGAGCAATGTTGCAGATTTAGCTAGAATTAAAGCGCAGTGGCATCTTAATTCTCTATTTAAATGAGTCTTTTCCTTCCTTATTGCTTTTATGAGAGTGGATATTAAAATTAAAACATGTAACAAAACCACATTAATAAGCTGCTTCTTGGTGAAAGCTCGTTCAGAAAACCACCACTGTGCTGATTCCAAATGCTGTGTATGCAGACTAATAAACTGGGTTTGAACGTATTCTAGTCTAAATACAATTAGCATGCTCTAACTCACAACAAAACCAATTCATGTAACAAACATATTCTACAAAGTCCATTAAATCGGTCTTGGGTGACGCCATGTTTTGGGCCAGGATAGGCACAATCTTGTTCTCTGGTCAGAATGACCTCTGTGAAAGTCAGTATTCATTAAGTCTCTGGGAGAGAAGGAAGTTGTCTTCTGTGTCCATTCTTAATTAAAGGCTTAAAAAGCTGAGAACTGAAGCTTCATTCAAGCTCCCTTTCCACCAGTTCCTGAAGTAGACCCTTAGGGCTGACATACATTCACATGCACACACATTTACACACACACACTGCTCAGGTTTCAATGGCCAGGTACAAATTCCACTGCCTTTAAAAGAGCAGTCTCTTCCACCCTCATTTGTCTGCTCAAGGACGATATGGTGTGTGTGTGTGTGTGTGTGTGTGTGTGTGTGTGTGTTAATGTACTTTTATGAGTTTTATTAGATCTGTGCTAGCGAGTAAAGTAGTGATGACGAAAAAGAGATCACTGCACAAAGGGAGTTGTCATGGTAATTTATATGGACAGTAATGTCACACAGTCACCAGATAAAAAGGCACTTTGGCACTTTCCACTGTTGCCAACTGACTCTGTGACCTTTGTATCTGGCCTAAAAGCTCTCAAGTATCTGAAATCACTGTATTTAAGGGTATATAGTTAAAGAAACCTTTACTTTAATGAAACCAAAGGAATAATAGGCTGAAACTTAACTCACTTGATCAATAATCTTTTCAACACTATCACACCCACTTTATATTTTACTGTATACTGCACTATGCTGTTTAGTCTTTACCTCACACCTACAACATAGCTGGAGTAATTTAGAGGATCCTGAGGAGCTAACCAATGATAAAAGGGGTAGTAGCGCAGTGACAAGAGAAAACACAAGAATCCCATCTTTAAACCATAATTAGTGTACAATACTGAGTTCAGAACTGATGAAGTTAGCAGCATTTGACCCCAGTTCTTTTCAGCCCTATACAGCTGTTGCCATATTTAGCACCTAAAAGCACATAACTACTGATTAGAGTAAATACTTCCCTGGTCAGTGAGCTACTCACAAATACATCTTAACTCCGACTTCAATTTATTGTTGAAAATTACAGATAAAGCTGTCAAAACCATTTAGAAAACACAATCAACTGTCTGTTGTAATTGCAAATTATTCAAATGTGATGCTACAGAAGGCTATATTTTGATATTTTAGGACTTACTCTTCTTTTAATAATAATAAAAAAAACACTTACCAGATAATTTAACACAAACCTTAGCTATAATTAATAAAAACATGCAAATTGCCTGCAATATTTTGACTTGATACAGCCTGGTAGGAAAAGCACAGGAGTTAGTAATCATGACAGTAACAGCTCTTGTACTCAACTGCCCCACTCTGACATGACAGTGAGCCAACAAAAGTCCTAGGGCACTAAAACCGAGGCAGTTAACTGGATTTCAGCCACCATTGCTCCTAAGCCTTTACTACTGTGACATGTCTGAAAAGGCCCATACTGATCTTCAGGTGGCACTGCATACAACAGGTGCAGCTGATGTGATAAAAACACCAAAAAGATCCAAACTCGAGCCATCAGCCCCACCCCGATGTGAACAGCATCCACAGTTGCTGTTGTCCTTCCATCAGCCAAAAGGCCTCGTCCCTTGTTCTCCTCTAGAAACCACTGTTGCACTAGGCCTATTGCTCCCCAGCTGTTTCTGCTTACTATCTGTGTGTGGCAAAGAGACTGCAGGTGAATGGCCGGCTGGCTGCTGGAACACTCTGTGTTGTCAGTACTGACCATAGGCCACACATGCTGTTAAGATTGTTGTGTCAGTGTTGCTGTGGACGCTCACAAGAATTTCAAATGGGCAATACGGAGGTTGCAACACGGCGCAACTTAGCCCCAGTAACCCTGCCACTCCTTTATTGTCCAAAGAAATTATTATTGAAACAACACCTGCTAAGGGCAACCCTGCCATGGCAGTTTTAGAAAACTTCGAAACACGTCATAAAATAACAGGAGCACATGATTTGTGTGAAATCATACGATAACTGCTTATTAACAATATGGCTATTTATACAAGGCATGCAAACAACAAACGTAATTAAATGTTGTCTTGTTACTTAGAAAGCTTGTTTTAAGTTATGTAATAGATCAGAGTAAGAACGTGACGAAGAAAGAACAATATTTTTGAGGGACTCACCCCACAGGCCCTTCTGGGGGCTCACTCATTGCCGTGATTACGGAGTTTGGATGACAGCGGTGCCCGGTGCTCGGTGCTCAGGCTGGGCTCCCAGAAATCCGCTGTTGCTCCTAAAGTCGCTGGATATTCATTATGCTACCACCTGCGACACAGCGCGTCAAAGCTGAGTCAATTTTCTGCCGCTGTCTTTTCTAAAACATCTAAACGAATAAAACGGCTTGTTCCTAGGTCAGAAAAGCCAACTTGGTATTTTCTGCAACAGGTCCCACAGTGCACAGTGACAACAACCCAGTGTGACCTTAAGTAAACACCGCAAAGTGTCCGTTAAGGGTAACTACGACACAACAACATAATACATGTTCAGTATTTCTAAGCCTGGCGTATTTTAGTCCAAAACATTCTTACTGAGTCATTCTCATGGACTAAGTTCCTTGTCAAATCCACTTGATATAGTGTCAATTTCGTATCTCTCCGGCTGATACTCAATCGACCATGGTCAAGTTATCTGCATTAGTAAATACAACATCCGGGACTTGTTTCAAAATAAGTGTTGATACTCGAACTTGTTTAACGATTTGATTTTTCTTTTTCTTTTTCTTTATAACTTTTTAGACCCTTTCTTTTTTCCACATTTTGTTATGTTTTAGACTAAGCTTTAAATTGGTTAAAAACATTCATATATCAATCTACATACAATAGCCGACTCCAGAATGATAAAATGAAAACAGGTTTTGGATTTTTTTTATTATTTATTAAAAATTAAAATACTGAAATATTCCATTTACATAAGTATCCAGAGGTTTTGTTATGACACTTTTTCTGGTGTACCCTATTCTTTTCAAATGTCCTTGAGACACTCCTACAGCTTGATTAGGGTCCATCTGAGCTTAATTTCATTTATTGATTGGATATAAATAGGAAAGACACACACCTGTCTATATAAGGTGTCGCAGCTGATGGTGTATGTCAGACTAAAAACAAAGCCATGAGTTTGAGAGAATTGTCTGCAGACCTGTGAGACAGGATCATATCAAGACAGATCTGGGGATGATACAAGAACAGTTTTTACAGCAGTGAAATTGCCCAAGAGCACTGTAGCCTCCATCATTCTCAAATGGAAAAGATGTGGAACCACCACCAGTCTTCAGAGATCTGGCCACCCAGCCAAACTGAGTAGTCATGGACGAAGGGTCAGACAGTTAACCGAGAACCCAAGGGTCACTATGAATGAAATCCAGAGTAACAGTAATGTAAAGTAGGCTGAAGGACAAAAGTTTCTGATCAGAGAGACATTACATAATCTGTCTGCCTCTTAAATACATTTACTTTTCCTTCTTTAATGTGTTTATAGGTATCGTGCACATCATGGATTTCGGTGGTTTGATTGCCCCCTTTGATGTCTTCAAAGAAATAAGAAAACCCACGCTTTTATTCGGAAGGTAATACTGTTTCCTGTCTTTTGTAGCTGCGTCTGTCTAATTTGATGCAGTTCTTTTCAGCCCGCCTTCGTCAGCAGATCTCACGTCCATCATCCTCATTGGGGATTCACATAGCGCCGGATGGAGAGCGAAGGCACCAGTTAGGCTACCCTTAATATACAGAGACAAATACAAGCAAAGTCAGTAAAATGCGGATCCAGAACTGAAAATAAATTGTATGAATTCATTTAAATTAAATTATTCATTCATCTTTAATTGCTGCTGCTACATGTTGGGGTTAAACAAAGGTTTTGGGGTTTTATAATTGAGCAATGCCTCTGTGAATGTCTCCTAGAAATGTCATGATAATTCAGATCTTTTCTCCCGGCATGCTTTGTGCTATGTCGACCTTGCAATGCACAACTATCGTTCTCCACCACAAGAGGTCACTGACAGACCACTCTAATATGTTGGGCCTACTCATAATGTCGCTACCTGCGATTTGATGGGCCGTCACTAGATACGGGCAGCAATGGCATTACTAGGCTATAGAATAATGGCCAAAACAAAGATAAAGATTAAGAGGATCGGTTCATAACAGCTGACACAAGAACAAACACAGTAAAATGTGAAGCCTAAAACAGGACACAGTACATAGCATGAAGTCGGTAACAC